ACTCGTTTGAATATTAGTATCAAAAACAGTCCCATCCTGTAGTGTTCCTGTATACCAGCAGTGAACAACATCTCCCTTTTTGGGAAAGTTGGTTTTATCTCCTTTTTTAAGAACAGATTTTATGTATTTTGGTGGACCCTAAAAAACAAACAAAAACAACACACACAGTAACTCACATCCTTCTTTTAGAAGGATGACAAAGAGAATTCTTACATAGCCAACTGTGACCCAAGTCTGGTCACAGAGCTTCACAGATGCGGTAACAGACCATTTTGCCTCTGGTTCACGTCTTAGTTTAAAAAAACTCACCATCTAATTGCAAGTCTGTGGTGAGAATATTAGTAAATAGCCTATCTATAACTTAATTTCAAGTAACTTCCAGCTACCTTGGAAACAAATGTTCTTTTGACAAAATTCTATTATTCAACAAACCATAAAATAAATCCTATTATTTTCCAAGGTTAGAAATACCATTACTATTTAATTCCTATAAAATCATAAGGCACTAAATAAAGCATTGTGACAGTTTTTTCAAAGATTTGAGTTGTTTAGCACCAATACTTGACGTTACTAAATTTAGAACGAATACAGTAATGTTCCATTTGTTTCTGAACTTGGAAGTTCATATAATAAACAGAATTATCAATACAAATTACTGTAACAGACATTTCCTAGAACAAAGCAGGATTATCAGGCTCTTTTTTAAAGAAAGGTAAGGGCTAATGAGTGGTGATTCATATATGTGAGAAAAGCAGTTTATTTTTTGCAGTACTTTAATACTGATAAAGTATCAGTTTATTATTGATAAAAAAATATGTATGATAAACTGAAATGTAAATGGGTAGTAAGTTGAAAGAGAAAGACTAATTTATGCCAGGCCTTTATTATTGCCTTACAATTACTAATGTCAAATGCTGCTCAAATACTTGAGCTATTTTATCTATCCTATGTAAAAATTGTCATAGATTTTATAATGGTAAACAAAGCTCATTATAGACTGTGTTGTGTTCTGCCTCCCATAATACAGTTTTTGGTTCTTATCACTATGATTATTATTTATACTATTTCAAATATTGTGATGCATTAAAGAAACTAATCTTTAAAAGTCAATGTATCAATATTAAGCCCATTTTTATTTTTTTAAATGTTTTAGAAATTATTATTTAATTCCAGCGTAATTAACATACAGTGTTATATTAGTTTCAGGTGCACAATAGTGATTCAATAATTCTATACATTACTCAGCACTCATCAAAGTAAGTGTATTCTTAATCCCCTTCACCTACTTCACCCATCCTCCCGACCTACTTCCCTTCTGGGAGAAAAGCAATTTCTTAATCAAATTTAAGAACATATAGAATTTTTAAAAAAAGAATATATAGAATTTATATAGAAAACCTGAAAGACTCCAGCAAAAAACTGCTAGAACTGATAAATGAATTCAGTAAAGTCACAGGATACAAAATCAATGTACAGAAATCTGTTGCATTTCTATATACCAATAATGAAGCATCAGAAAGAGATATTAAGAAAACAATCCCATTTACAGTTGCACCCAAAATAGGATACCTAGGAATAAACCTAACCAAACAGGTGAAAGACCTTGCTCTGAAAAGCATAAAACATTGATAAAAAGAAACAAAGGATACAAAGAAAGGAAAAGACATTCCATGCTCATGGATTGGAAGAACAGATATTGTTAGAATGTCTATACTGCTCAAAGCAATCTACTATGTTTAATGCAATCCCTATCAAAATACCAACATCATTTTCCACAGAGCTAGAATAAACAATCCTAAAATTTGTATGGAATCAGAAAAGACTCCAAATAGCCAAAGCAACCTTGAAAAAGAAAAGCAAAGCTGGTGGCATAATTCTGGACATCAAGTTCTATTACAAAGCAGTCGTGATCAAAACAGTATGGTATTGGCACAAAAACAGATACACAGATCAAAAGAACAGAACAGAAAACCCAGAAATAAGCCCAAGACTATATAGTCAATTAATCTTTGACAAAGCAGGAAAGAATATCCAATGGGAAAAAGTCTCTTCAGCAAACGATCTTGGGAAAACTGGGCAGGAACATGCAAAAGAGTGAAACTGGACCATTTTCATTCACCATACACAAAAATAAATTCAAAATGGACTGAAGATTTAAATGTGAGACTTGAAACCATAAAAATCCTAGAAGAGAGCATAGGAAGTAAGGTCTCTAACATCGGCTGTAGCAACTTCTTTCTAGATACATCTCTTGAGGCAAGGGAAATAAAAGCAAAAATAAACTATTGGGACTACATCAAAATAAGTTTCTGCAGAGGGAACAATCAACACAACTTAAAGGCAACCTATGGAATGGGAGAAGGTATCTGCAAATGACATAGCTGATAAAGAGTATCCAAAATATATAAAGAACTTACACAACTCAACACCCAAAAAGGAAATAATCCCATTTAAAAATGGGCAGAAGACATGAACAGACATTTCTCCAAAGAAGACATCCAGATGGCCAACAGACACATGAAAAGATGCTCATTGGGACGCCTGGGTCTGCCTTCAGCTCAGGTCATGATCCCAGGGTCCTGGGATCAAGTCCCGCATCGGGCTCTTTGCAGCACAGAGTCTGCCTCTCCCTCTCCCTCTGCCCGTTGCTCCCCCTACTTGTGCTTATTTGGTTTGACAAAATTAATAAAATCTTAAAAAAAAAGACGCTCATCACTTATCATCAGGGAAATGCAAATCAAAACTACAATGAGATATCACCTCACACCTGTCAGAAGTTAAAATCAACAACACAGGGGCGCCTGGGTGGCTCAGTCGTTAAGCGTCTGCCTTCGGTTCAGGTCATGATCCCAGGGTCCTGGGATCGAGCCCCGCATCGGGCACCCTGCTCAGCGGGAAGCCTGCTTCTCCCTCTCTCACTCCCCCTGCTTGTGTTCCCTCTCTCGCTATGTCTCTGTCAAATAAATAAAATCTAAAAAAAAAAAAATCAACAACACAAGAAACAACAGGTATTGGTGAGGATGTGGAGAAAGGGGAACCCTCTTGCAGTGTTGGTGGGAATGCAAACTGGGTGCAGCCACTGTGGAAAACAGTATGGAGCTTCCTCAAAAAGTTAAAAATAGCAATTGCACTACTGAGTATTTACTGAAAAAAGAACACTAATTCAAAGGGATACATGCACCCCTATGTTTATAGCAGCGTTATTTACAAAAACCAAGATAAGGAAGCAGGCCAAGTGTCCACTGATTGATGAATGGATAAAGAAGATGTAGTATATATATATAATGGAATATTATTCAGCCATAAAAAAAGAATGAAATCGTACCTTTGAAGTGACATGGATGGAGCTAAAGTATAATGCTAAGGGAAGTAAGTCAGAGAAAGACAAATACCATATAATTTCACTTATGTGGAATTTAAGAAACAAAGAAGCAAAAGGAAAAAAGTAAGAGAGAGAGACAGACAGACAAGACAGACAAACCAAGAAACAGACTCTTAGCTGTAGAGAACAAACTTGATGTTACCAGAGAGGAGGTCGGTGGGGGGTGGGAGGAGAAGGGTTAAACAGGTGATGGGATTAAGAAGTCCACTTGTGGTGATGAGCACCAGGTGGTATGTAGAAGTGCTGAATTACTATATTGTACACCTGAAATGAATATAACACTATTGTTAACTAATGTTAACTAACGAATTAAAATAAAAACTTAAAAAGAATATATAGAATTTTACACTACAAAACATTTAATAATGGGAAAAGAAAATAATAGACATTAAACATCTATTTGCCAGTTACATAACACATACGATCCCCACTTACTCTTAATCCTCTGAAGAAGGTATCACCTACTTGCATTTTTGCAGATGAAGAGACTGCGAGTCAGGGAATTTGCAACAGAGCTGATGAGTAGTAGAGAATGAATATGGATTTGGGTTTGTCTGAATCCAAAGCCCCTGTTCCTTCCACTATGCCTAAATACTTCAAATAATTGTACTAATGGTAGTTAACCTCTACTGTATTAGTTAAAATAGTTGGCAACTACTGCGTACCCTCTATGTGCTGGGCACTATCCAAATGCTTTACATAAATTAACTCTTAATTGTTATTACCTTATGAATTAGGTACTATTATTCCTATTTTACAAAAAAGGAACTATAAGGATAGAGTGGTTAAACAACTTGCTTACGGACCTACAGCTCCCAAGTGGCTGAGTAGGACTGGAAACCAGGAAGCCTGCATATAAGTCCCATGCTCTTTATCACTTTACTCAAGCGCATATGGAATGTCAGGTATTACACAATTCATTTTATTTTTCTTATGTCAACTCATTTAACCTTACAACTACCTGATAGTCTTTTATACCAGAAAGTAATGCCTGCATAGAGTATAAAGCCATATTCAATTTAGAGCCTAAGAATTAGCACTTTCAACTAAAGCTAGGCTGCCTTCCTAAATCAAGTCACATCTACAGCATGAGTACATGTATTATTACAAAAGCAAACATTAACTTTCTTGCTGATGCTCCCATTCCAAGCTTGTTTTAATGAAAAATGCTACTATAAATGGTCAGGTGTCTACAAGCAGCAGTGTAAACTGGTGCCATCTCTTTGGAATGCAATTTTAAAAGGTTAGAAGTGTGATAATAATACTATTCATACAAATATATGCTCAAGAAGTAATCTGAAGGGCGCCTGGGTGGCTCAGATGGTTAAGTGTCTGACTTTGGCTCAGGTCATAATCCCAGGGTCCTGGGATCGAGTCCTGCATCAGGCTCCCTGCTCCTTCCAGGAAGCCTGCTTCTTCTGCCCCTCACTCTCTGTCTCTCATGAATAAATAAATAAAATCTTTAAAAAAAAAAAAGAAGTAATCTGAAGCTTAGGAAAAAAAATCTTTGTGCAGTTATTCAATGCACTATTATCCATAGTGGTAAAATAACCACATGTTTATGGTAATCTAATACTCAGTTTTTTATAATGTGGAAAAATTCTTATAAAGTGAAAAATCAATAGAAATTTCTAACTATAGTAATATCTCAAATATTTAAATTAATATGCACTTAGAAAATATTCAAAGACAAGATTCTGAAATGTTAAACATGTTCATTTCTAGGTGTTGGAATATTATGTATTCTCTATACTTT